ATTCCTGCTAACCAATTGTTATAATCTAACTGTGCCTTTTATACTTCTATTTTTGTTTTTCTATTTCTAATTCAGAAGGAACTGCTAGTGAATCTGAAGATGACAATGAGAGAAATGATGCTGCAGAGGAAGAAACAGATGATGATGACAACGCCTTTTTTGATACACGTGATATTCTATCATCCAGTTCTTTTAAAAGTAATGGGTCAGATTATCGAGTATCATCCTTCTCTTCAGATGATGAAGGGTTCTATGCATTTGAATCAGAGGATGACGTAGATCCGACAATTAGACATGTTGGAACCAATTACCCTCATGTTAAGCGGCGTAAGAAATTGCCAGACCCTGTAGAAAAAGAGAAGGGTGTCAGTCTTTGGTCAATGATTAAGGATAATATAGGGAAGGATCTAACAAAAGTTTGCCTTCCTGTTTATTTTAATGAACCTCTTTCCTCCCTGCAAAAATGTTTTGAAGAAATGGAGTATTCATATCTGCTGGACCAAGCATATGAATGGGGAAGAAGGGTAAGTGTGGATTTGGCTGACAGGTCTCCATTTCTCTACCATATTATGCTTTAATTGAACTGTTTCATTTGATATGAGGAAATTGTCAGTGCCATGTTGAATTTGATTTCCTTGCCGTTAACTATTTCAATGCAGTATGGGGTGCATTCTTCCCATTATTAACTAATTGGAGATGCCATGCAGGGTAACAGCCTCATGAGGATTCTCTACGTTGCGGCTTTTGCTGTATCTGGCTATGCTTCCACTGAAGGAAGAGTTTGCAAACCATTTAATCCATTACTTGGGGAAACATACGAAGCTCACTACCCAGATAAAGGCCTTCGTTTTTTCTCAGAGAAGGTACAATCTAACCTTGCATAGTGAAGTGATTAATATATTAACTATTTTCGACTCAAAGATGGAATCAAACCATGATAATTTCTATTCTTCCGTTGACATTTCTTTCTGATTGCACCCCAATTTACATATTTATGAAAGGGGCCAGACAATCGGTTTCTGTCAAAAGTTTACCACTGTGTGGACATTTTTTTGAGGTCTTAATCTGAGTTATTTGAATGATTTATTTGATTGAAAATTGCATGTACTAACCACGACACAGCTGAATTCCTCACAACCACTTGCTTTTGATTGAAAGAAACAATTTTTCCTAATATAGAGGACCTTAATTTTAGAAAGATGTCATTTATTTTATGAACAAGAGGTGTAGTGTGAATGCATTAATTATCTAGAAACCTATTAACACAATACAATTTGGGTTTTGGTCTCAACAAAAGGGATGCAATTTGACTTTTTTAATTTATGTCGCCTATTAGAAATTAGAAATTATTAATATTTCTGCTTCCCCTCAGGTCAGTCATCACCCTATGATTGTCGCATGTCACTGTGAGGGCACAGGTTGGAAATTTTGGGGAGATAGCAACCTAAAGAGCAAATTTTGGGGGAGATCAATTCAGCTTGACCCTGTTGGTACTTTGACTTTGGAATTTGATGATGGGGAGGTTTTCCAGTGGAGCAAGGTATGTATTATCTGCCTCAACTGCTAGTCTGCTATATGATATATCTGCTTTAGTTCTATTTTCTAAACGGACTTGTTCTTTCAGGTTACTACATCAATATACAATCTCATATTGGGAAAGCTATACTGTGATCACTATGGTACAATGCGTATACAGGGAAACCAAGAGTACTCGTGTAAACTGAAGTTCAAGGAACAATCTATAATTGATCGAAATCCTCACCAGGTGCTTGTGCTTGAGGATTCTATTTTTTCACATTTAATATATCCATTAACTCTGGTATTAAACTGTCCTTACTCTTTGGTTTATATAAGACTTAGTTGTCTTGCTTGATAAACTCAAGATACATACACTTTGTACCCATGCTCAGATTTCTCTTTAAAGGAAGATAGTGGGGCCTTTGCTAGTAAATGGACTTTTCATTTACTATCTTACGATGTTATTTGATTTATGACATTTTGTTGCAGAGGGTTGTCTCTTATATTGGTTTGCCTGCTTTTCTAGGTTCATGGTATCATTCAAGATAGGAACGGAAAAACTGTATCAACTTTGTTTGGAAAATGGGATGAGAGCATGCATTATGTTAACGGAGACTACACTGGGAAAGGGAAAGGTCATGAATCTTTGTCAGATGCCCATTTACTCTGGAAGCGAAGCAAGGCTCCCAAGTTTCCCACTAGATATAACTTCACACGCTTTGCCATTACATTAAACGAACTGACCCCTGGATTGAAGGTCTGTTTTATTAACCTTTGTGTTGCCACTCTACATATACTTATTTTAAGAAAAATAGTCCAGGAAAAATACTGTATTATTCACTGCAAGTTGTGCTTGCTTGTGTACGCTTTAACTGGAGTTCACTTGGTTCTTGCAATAACTAGGGGACACTAACTTTTTCTCTACAAAGATGAAATATATCCGATAGAAGGAACAAAATAGTCTCATCATCTTACTGTGCACATTGTTATGTGTGTGTGTTTGTTGTGTTTTCGGCATTCTGTTAGACATTGATTGTCAATTTAATTTGTGATTTTATATAGGAGAAGTTGCCACCTACAGATTCAAGGTTAAGACCAGACCAAAGGTATTTGGAAAATGGGGAGTATGACATGGCAAATTCAGAAAAGTTACGGCTAGAGCAGCGACAGCGCCAGGTGCCTATTACATTTTATGTAACGTAATGTTTTTGTTTTATGGTTTTCACTTGCAGTTTGGCACTTATATAAATCTGTGTAGGTTCTTTGGTGCTTCATAACAGCCTTTGGCTATGGAAGGGTTAGAGTAGATTGTGTTCAGCTGAATAGTCTCTATTTTCGAATTGAATGCAGAGAGATTTTATTTTTGATTCCAGTCATTAGTTTTTCTTTTCTTTTTCTAGTTTAGGAAAGGACTCTTCATGGGGAATTATCAGATATTAAAGAGACACTATCATTTTTGTTGCATGTGTTGTTATGAAATTGATGGTTCATTGTAGTTGTTACCGTCGAGCACATATTAAACGAGAAGGTGCTTTTGTTAGCAGGAAATGGGAGTAACTGATATGCTACATGATTTGATATGATATACTCATCCTTATTTATGTCCTAAGTTTTAGTAGTCGGCGGTTGTGATTGATCTAATATTTGAATGAATGTGATTCAGGCTCGGAAGATGCAAGAAAGTGGGTGGAAACCACGGTGGTTTGCTAAGGATAAAGCGAGCGGGACATACCGCTATATAGGAGGGTATTGGGAGGCCAGACAACGAGGAAACTGGGATTCCTGCCCCGACATCTTTGGCCAAATTCCTTCCGATCATATTTCTGACCAAGCTCAAATTACATTTTAGTTCTACTAAATTTTTTTCCTCCCGATTTTTTACTGATGGGTGTTTCTAATGACTGCGAGTTCGTTGTTATGGTACACCCATGAAATTCATGTAACCCAATCATATGAAAATACGAGCGAGTAATAATGTAATTCTTTTTCTTTCCATTCCAACTCTATTCGCAGAATCCTTTTTACTTGTAACTTACGTAATCTTTGCTGTTGTTATCATTCCCACAGGAATGCATTAACTAATCAGTATATGATAGCACTTACCAAGCAAAAGCAAATTCCCCGAGTCCATTTAGCAAACAAGGGAAAGGGAAAGAAGCATCTTTCAATCTTTTTCTTCCTTTTTTATATTTCCCCTTTTTGACCTGAACCAAACAATGTGTAAATGACCTAATCGTTAAATGGAACTTCTTCGACAAGCAGTAAAATGTTTCAATGACTTACATAACCTTAAGTAATAGATTAAATGTTTCAATGACATGACTGAAGAACAGAAAATGACTTCTTACGGCTTATCTCCTTTGCTGGATTCCGTCCTTGATGTTCCAAAGCAACAATAACTCTAATTTTCATGCCCACATTTGCCATCAGAAACATCATCATTTCTGTAAAACTTTCTAAACTTTGGGCGTCCGATTCATCTTCAGAAGTTGTATGATGTTTTATCTCAAAAAGAATATGTACGACGCTTAAGCCATCACCTGGCTGCTGGTACTTCTCAGGTAAGATGATGCCTGGGGAATTAATAATAATTAATGTTGTTCCATGGATGTCATTTGCGAGATTTAGTGCCGGTTTGTTAAACATGATCACTTCTCGCTTTTGTGAACACGATTCAAAATAAAATATGTCATTAAAATTATTTTAGAAACATTTTATTTGTTTAACGATTTAAAAAATATTTTTTATCAGAGTCAGTCCTGTCAAATTTTAAAATAAATGAGTCCTAAATTCTTAAATGGTGAGCAGCTGCTGTCTTTTTTATTTTGGTAGAAGTGAATAACTGCATCTGAATAACAAGCAATAATGCAGGAAACCTAATTTTATGAAGGGATATGATATGAAGATGAAAGAAAATAGTGATACACTTTACAGATGGGACCTATTGTCTGGTGACATCTTCAACTTAGACAAATTTTATGGACAGCTTTTGTTGGACAGTTTTTAATCTGATAAGTTAGATTGTGACCTATGCTGAAATTGTTCATTACAAATTTATAATGCTGATGGTCTATGTAGTTGTCAGAGTTTATGTCCCAGTCAATTTACGCTGACAAGACAAAATCCCACTGCCTACAAAGTCGTATATGATTCAAACCAAAAAAGAGAGCTTTAAAAAAGCTCATATGATAAAATCTTCAAAAGCAAAACAACTATTTACTTTAAGTTTTGATGTTAACTAATATTTTCCTTACATTTCTTTTTGGGTGAACCCCTATTTGGCTATTTCAATCTTCGAAAGGATATAATGTCATCATCTTAGCTCTCCAAGTATTTTAACATTAATTCAGTTCTTAATTTGAAGGAAAAAAGACATCATTTATTTTTTTAAAAAAATAATTGATTCAGTTCCTCAATTATTAAAAAAGAATCTCTCAATAATGTGAAAAAAAACTGAATTCAATATCTTAATTATAAATGTTAGTATTAATATCATCTTTCAGAAAGATTCATAACAATTCCTTGATAGTTTGGTTTTCTCATTTCCTTTTCGGATGGATTTTGCGGGATCTAAATATGCGAGTACGGTTGGGCTGGAAGACAATGTCGCTAAAAAGCCCAACATGGAGAGGTACCAATTTACGCCTTTCTGTCGTCCTGCTATGACGTATTACCTTTCTTTTCTTTTCTTTTCCCACTTCATATGAAATGTTTATTATTGTCTTTAACTTATAAACATAAATGAAACACAGGATATGCTATTCTTTTCTTTTGAAGATGAACTTGTTCCTCAGATCAATATCATTATTCTAAACAAAAATTACTATCTAACTACTGTAATGTAATAATAAATAGTGACGGTGAATATATAAAGAGAGACAAATATAATTGATTAATATAAAAAAAAAAAACATGTATTATAAAGTTACCAAAAAGGTATTTATACTTCAACCGTTCAACGGTGAGGTAACCAAGCCTAAATAAAATCCTAATAAGATTCAGATTTTACTACAACTGAATAAGTTACAACTTTCCTATGATAATTAAATCAGAATCAATAATATGTTACAACTTACAAATATTCACCTTTTAATAGTTGTTCATATGTTCAGTTATTTTTAAGATGTAAAACTACGACAAATTTTATATATACAGATAGTACGGTTAAGAAGTTGAAATGTAATAAGTTCTGGAAGCCTTACTGATATTTATCACACTACTGATGGCAATTCGTAAACATGGGCCTCTTGTTGATCTATTTCAGGTGCATGAGTGAGTAGATATGAGGCTGGCCCCAGTATTAATTCCGAATAAATATAGAATACGTAATTGTATAACACCTTCTATAACATTAGTGTTTTTATTTTTCCATCAGATTAACTACTTATCTTCTTCGTATTTCTTTCTTTCTTTGTTATCTATAAGAACATTGTACAAATATAATTTCTCATAAGAATGTGGTTTAGGGTTTTATGGACTCACATTGATGTTGTTTTATGGATTTACATTGATGTTGTTTTTCGTTTGTGACATGAGAATAACAACTATAAATTGGTTATGTAATTGATGGGTATCAGCCACCCGAAAATTCCTATCAAATGAAAAAAAATTAAAAATTCCTTCAACATTCCTATTTGTATTTTATTCTTAATTCTTTTTTTTTGGGGTGTTTTTACTTTTAACATTTGATTAGTACTGCAATTTACTCCATAATATATTTGAACATACAATTTTCTTATCATCTGACTTTTATTTTCTTTTCCCAATTAATATGAAATGTTGATTATACAAGTAGAACAGAGGGTAAGATATTCTTTTCCCGAGAGAAGCTGTTCCTCTTAGATGAATATTAATATTAACTTAAGTTTAACCATAAACCTTGAGTATAAGTCTTAGGATAAAGTTTACTCTTAATATTTAGTGTATATTTGAATATCAATATCTAACCACCTTCAATAGAAAAATATGTATTTTAATGAAAAAAAAAGAAAAATAACTTATGAATATGATTTTTTTTTATTTAATTGAGTTTAACAGAACCAATTCTCAAAGTCATCATTATTCTATTTCGTATGCATGGATAATTGGGTGTCAAGTTGTCCCGTGTAACATGTAAGGCTATATAGACACTTGTCTTAGATTCTATAATAAATTACATATGTTTATGATTTGTATAAATTTTTTATTATATATTTATGGTTTAATAATTTTAATAGAGAAATATCTTCTTTTCCAAACTTTAATTATGTAATTGGTTAAGTTTGTCCTTAAAAATCATATTAATTAAGATATTAGAAAACATTAAAGTTTGGAAATGTTAAACCTTTTATTGATATAAATTTAGAATAATGTTAATTTTTGAAATATTATGTAATTTAGTAGATGTCAAGAAAAAAAAAGGTGTTATTAATTTGATTTTCTATATACACTTTACAAATAATTGACCTCAATTTTTTTTTAACTATCTTTTTTTTTTCTCTTTCTCTTCTTCGTCATTTTTATATTTATTTAAAAATTTGAAGCAATTGTTAAAGTGAATAACTAATTTAAACTTGTTATGATAAAAAAATTTCATGTATAATTCTATATATTTTTAGGTTTTTGTCATTTTAACATTTTTATATCTTTTTTAATACAATTAATTCATATTCTTTTATTAATACTTTTTATACTATTTTTGACTTAAATATGTTTTTAGTTTTTATATATTTTTTCATCTCTCTAAAATTTAAAATATTATTTTTAATATTCATTATTATGTAATCATTTTTTAATTATTTGTTTATTCATTAAATGGTTAAATGATTATCTCTGATGCTACTTATACTAGTTGGTGATATATACTATTGTGTAACACATCTAAAATATTTCACAGGTTCTTAAAATAAATGTCACTTGTAGACCTTAAAATCATTGTTAGGATAAAAAATAATAATTTTAGACTTTATAGTGATAAAAATTATAAAAAAAAAAATTTACATTAACCAAATCAAAACAAATTTACTCACTTTCAAAGCCTAAAAATATTTTACAAGGATAAAAAAATGTTTACAACTTTTAGAAGAATGGAAAAAAAAAATTAAGAATCAAAATCAAAATTCATTCATTTTATAGGAACTAAAAATATATTTTATTACACATTATAAAATTATAATAATATAAATGTCAAATAAAAAATAAATATAATTTTAAAAGGTAAAAAATGATGAATAATCTTATAACTCAAAGTTAAAAAATTCATTAAAAAAATTAATAACTAACTTTATATTCTTAAGCTTTTTTATATATAAATTTTATCTTGGGCCTCGAATTGTTTTAACACGGTCCTGTTGCCCCAAATCCTATAGCATCTCAGCAATCGCAGAAAACAAATTCCCAACATATATGATAGATGCAACAATTTGATGTACCTAAATTTTGACGGAATGTGATACGTACAACACTTCGAGGCCTTACATTATTTATGTTATTTTTGGTTAATGTCATGAGAAAATGAGAAAAACATTTTTTTTTTACTTTTCTTAATTTTTTTCCTGGTCATTAATTTTTATTTTTTTTTGGCATTTAGTCCGTAACTCGAAGTTGCAATTACGTGCAAAACACGAGTGTAACAGTGGGTCAATTAATATGTGCATGTAGGTCAATTATATGACCATATGGTTGCTACTTTGATGACTATCCATCACCCGAAGCTTCCTTCCAAATGAAAGCAACAGACCAAAATATTAAAAACTTTCTCTCTACTTTTCTATTTATATCACTAATTTTGAGTGGGATTCTTTTTACTCTAAACCATTCAATTATCACAATTTAGTCCATAAAATCCAAATAATGAGATAGATCGCATTTATTGAATCTCTAGGAAATAACTCATATCTCAACCAATACTAGTTTTTATCTTTTAAATTATTCAGAATCTAAATTTAAATTTTAAATATAAAATAAATTATATTAAAAATAAATATTTACTTTATATCGTTACATATACTTATAATCTTTAA